CCCGAGAGAGAGCCCAAAGCACGTATTGATTATCTGCCTTTTAATGGCACTTTTCAAAGGCTCTGCTAAAAATGTGCTGTAAACAGGGCTTATATATTTTTTGCTGTGCATGGCTACAAATCTGCTGCTCTTAACAAAGTGGCATCTCTTCTTTAGGGATGCTTCTTCCAATATCCACATTCTTTGCCATTTTTTTCTTCATTTTCTTTTTCACCAGCATACCATCATTTCCATATCCTTTTATTGACTGCGTTGGCGAAAGTGTCACCTCAGTACACTTGATAATTTCCCAAATCATGATGCACTTTATCTTCTCAGGTTCATTTAAGGCATTGGACTTGTGGGGGAGTTATTATTTAATTTAATTAGGACATTCTGTTTAGTTCTGGCCCAACTTACCTGTCCGAACGCATCTCCACTTATGAACCTTCCAGGACTTTAAAATTGTTTGGGGAGGCCATGCTCTCGATCCCGCCCTTGTCACAAGCACATCTGGCGGGGACGAGAGACAGGGCCTTCTCAGTGGTGGCCCCTCGGCTATGGAATGCCCTCCCTAGGGATAGCAGATTGGCCCCCTCCCTTTTAACATTCTGGAAAAAAAATCAAGACTTGGCTTTTAGAGCAAGCATTTGCAAGTACAGTGTAACTGACATAGGAAAATGGAACGATTAGACAATGTGATTGGCCAATGTTATCAGCAAGGAGATGCTAATGATATATGTTTATTATTGACTTTGCTATAGTTTTCTAATATTTTAATCTTTTTAATTGTATTTTATGGTCTTGGTACTAACTGTGAACCGCCCCGAGTCGCCTGCGGGCTGACAGGGAAGGTATATAAATATAATAAATAAATAATAGTTCATTTCTCCATTTTTCCTCTTAAGATTCCTTACAGTAATATATTTTCAAAGCAAAATAGTCTGGTAACAAAATGAAATTGAAACAGGCATCAATAGCCAGAGTACTTCAGTTTACAATCGGTTGAAAGTGAAGCTTCTGCTTTCTTCACTTATGTAGAATAGATTGCAAATGGGCATCTGCTGGAAAAAAGTATTAGTGTTATACTTAAGGCATCAGTAAACGGAACTCCAGCTATAAGCAACGAATGATTGAATTAGTGAAATCCTCCTTGCTGTACTAAACTATCCCCATGAACTGTAAACAATAGTTTTTGAGCCCACAAAGCTATCAGTAGTGCCAGCCTAGCACAAGAACTGTGCTAGACAAGAAATTACTGTCAGCAAATTTTGGTGTGTCTTCTGTTGCTGCACATCCTTGTTCATATATTTACACGTATATGGCTTGTGTAACAATAAATTCTAGACTGAAGGAACTTTGAGTTGCCTCTGGGCTGAGAAGGGCAGTATATAAATTATTATTATTATAAATGTGGTAAATAAATAAATTTGATTAGAGATGTGACAAATTATCTGGAGCAGCTTATTTTTATATCACAAAAACACTATGGCTTGGGAATGCTGGGGACAGTGATGGAAGAAATAGGCAGATTTAGAGGAAGAAAAGAGACTAAAAAAGAATATAAGAGGCCATCATTCCTTAGCCCCCGGTGGCACAATGGGTTAAACCCCTGTGCTGGCAGGACTGAAGACTGACAGGTCGCAGATTCGAATCCTGGGAGAGGCAGATGAGCTCCCTCTATCAGCTCCAGCTCCTCATGCGGGGACATGAGAGAAGCCTCCTACAAGGATGAGAAAACATCAAATCATCCGGGCACCCCTTGGGCAACGTCCTTGCAGACAGCCAATTCTCTCACACCAGAAGCGACTTGCAGTTTCTCAAGTTGCTCCTGACACAACAAAAAAAAAATCCTTAGCTTGGAGGAAGCACATATGTAATGCCTTGCAATGAAAATCCAGGGCATAATTATCTTTCCAGAACAAAATGGTTTCTTGAGACAAGGTGTTAGGGCAACATCAGAGCCAATTCCCATGCACAAGTTATATGTGTGCGGAGAACTGGCATAATTGGACTCCCCTTCTTATTTCTTCATTTCTTCAGAGGGGAGCATTATTACTATTATCTTACTTGAGCACGAGTTTGAAGGGTATTTTTAAAATCCTAACTAGGATCAGGGGATTGTGTACATATGTTTGTAAATGTGTACAAATACTGGAAGTCTTTTGGACCATGTGATTTCAAAGCTGTAAAGCAAGGGTCCTCAAACTTTTTAAACAGAGGGCCAGGTCACGGTCCCTCAAACCATGGGGGGGGGGGGGGGGAAAAAATATATGAATAAATTCCTATGCACACTGCACATATCTTATTTGTAGTGCAAAAACACTTTAAATAATACAGTAATTAAAATGAACAATTTTAACAAATATAAAGTTATTAGTATTTAAATGAGACGTGTGGGCCTGTTTTTGGCTGATGAGATAGGATTGTTGTTGTTGTTGTTGTGTGCTTTCAAGCCGTTTCAGACTTAGGTTGACCCTGAGCGAGGGCCGGGTAAATGACCTCGGAGGGCCATATCCAGCCCGGGCCTTAGTTTGAGGATCCCTGGTATAGACAGATAGGAGAAGCAGAAAAGTCTTAATATGTTGATAGAAGTTAATAATTGGTCACTGAAGGGTGTTTGGGTACAAACTGACTTTGAGGACCCCTGCCAAAAAGCATGTCTTGCAGAGATATTTGTTTTAATGTGGTTTTCTTTGGCAAAACTCTTGTTGGCTATGATGTGCAGACCCTTCACTTTGGACTCCTGTAAAAATGTGTTGCACTCATTGAATCTGTACCTCAGCTATGTTTCTTTCAGCCGTATTGTTTTTATATTGCTTTTTATTGTGTTATTTGTTTTATCTGATGTTTTAATTGGTTAAAGTGTTTTACATGTATGTTTCAATTGTAATCTTGGGTGTGTCCCTTGTAAGCCTCCCCGAGTCCTCTAGGGGAGATGGTTGGCGGGGTATAAAAATAAAGTTATTATTATTATAGCTGTGTACACTTTAAGACAAATAAATTAGGCCAGGAATATATTTGAAGAAAAATAATAGATTAGATGGAAATCTAGGCACGATAGTGTCTGATGGAGTGCGTTCTAGGCTGTATTTCCTGTGTTGTATTTCTAATTGAGTTTGAGTGACTGGGTCGTTTTTAGAGCAGAGGCTCACCCACACTCTGAACCCAGTGCCACTGTTTGGGAAAAGTCCTGAAAAGCCAGAAGACTTACTTTTCCCAAGCAACAGCTCTATGTCTGGAGTATGCTGTTTCACATTGACACTTACATGATAGAATGCTTCTCTGAAATATCCCTACACATAGGAAACCAGTGCTTCATGAACAGACTAGCTTAAAACCCTTGTCTCAGACATGCTAATCTTCTCTGAGAAGGGATTTTTTTCAATGCAGGAGCATGCCACCACCCAAGTCCCAACTGCATCTTAAAAATCAAGCTGATCTCCTGTTTGTTAGATTGAAACCATAGCATTTATGGCTTCAGTTTCTTTCTGTGACATGAAACACAGTTGTTGGGAAAGGGGAGAGTTCTCCCCAGTCGTCTTCGATCTTCTTCCAGTACCCCCCTTTTTATTATGATTGCATTCTTGAATTAGCCAAATAACTAAAGTTGTAACTTCTTAATGAGGAGGGGCTAGTTTTTAATAAGAGAGGTGAATGCTGGAAGAGTGCTAATTTGGTCCTTACATAGGATTATAGAAAGAATGAAAAGAGGAGTTGAAGATGGCCTCCTTTGTGAGAATTTGAGTTGAATTGTAATTTCCCCCCATGTTTCACTAATCTGTGCATAAATTTGGCAAGATATACATTTATTTCAATGGAATCAATACATTATAGCAAGCAGGTAGATATATTTTGTCATGTTGCTCTCATGATGTAATAATGATGCATAGACCTCATGAGTCTCCATTTGTTTTTACAGCTCTATTGCTGTTTAACTAAAGGTGTTACATTAATTTATATTAATTTATTAGCTGAACTGGTGATCTGAAGAATCCGCAAGGCAGGGTGAGCTCCCATATGTCAGCTCCAGCTTCCCATGTGGGGACATGAGAGAAACCTCCCACAGGATGGTTACACATCCAGGCATCCCCTGGGCAACATCTCTGCAGACAGCCAATTATCTCACATCAGGAGCGACTCGCAGCTTCTTGTCGCTTCTGACACAATTTTTTTTAAAATGTGAATATTTTATGGAATTGTTGCATCTTACTAGAGACATCTTGTAGGAGCTGGGTGGTGACGACCGACAGGGAGCTCTGGCGTGGGCTGGTCCATGAAGTCACGAAAAGTCAGAAACGACTGAACGAATGAACAACAACAACACCAAAACTAGAGACATCGGCTTTGTGATTCTCTTAGGTTCCTCCTTGGTGACTTTAAACCACCAGCTCTCCTTGTTCCGTTGCCCCCTTTAGATTAAAGCTCAGAAAGAAAGAATCTGTATGTTTGCCCAGTTGCCCTTTTTGTATGCCTGAGCAAGGTTACTGTAGTAATACAAAGGTTTGTGCTAGGGAAGGAACACTAATGGGTAAATTTGCCAGTGATTGTTTTGTTGAAGGCTTTCACTGCCAAAATCACTGGGGTGTTGTGTGGTTTCTGGGCTATAAGGCCATGTTCTAGCAGTATGTTCTCCCGAAGTTTCACCTGCATATGTGGCTGATATCTTCAGAGGATCTGAAGATGCCAGCCACAGATGTAGGTGAAATGTCAGGAGAAAATGCTGCTAGAACATGGCCATATAACCCTTGCTAGTGATTCTCTCCTACCTTCACCATCACATTAAACTGAGCTCAAAAATGTTATACCTTTCATAATTCTACACCTAACGTATCTATTCTTGCATGTCAGTGTGGTTTTGTTTTGTCTTGGGGAACCTCCCTGGGTTCTGCTTTCCAGAACATTGTGTCACAAAGAAAAGATCCCTTTCGTGTCTGTGAAGCCGATTATTACCTAGTGTGTAGTTAGAAATAATAATGATACATTGCATTATTTCTCATCCTGTTGTCTTCCGTTTTTAGGGCTTCTTCAGTAAACGGCTTAAAGGTTCAATCAAAAGAACAAAGAGCCAGTCGAAGTTGGACAGGAACACCAGCTTTCGTCTTCCATCGCTACAGCCTGCTGATGACAGGTAAGAGTTTCCATGAAGAACAAAGAAGGGCACTCATTTTCACTTCCAGATATTTGACATGTTATATTGATCTAAGAATGAATTCATAAGAAGACAGGAAACATTTGCATTGCAACTCGGCTTAATTTTGCAATGTTTGTCATAAAACATAGAATACCATTTACCAACCACTTGCAATTGCAGGCACTTTGAAAATGCACTGAAATCTATTACTATATGTACTCATGTATAAGTGTATAAATTTTAGTCAAAAATTTAACTTTTCCTTATCCACTTGTGGTAATGTTATGGATAGCATATTCTATTCAGTGCCATGCAAGTGAAACAATATGCTTGAACAGTTTCCAGAAATGCAGCTTTGTTTGTTTGTAGTAGAAAAACAGCACAGCTTTATGGCACCTTAGAATAACTGATTTATTGTGACATGAACTTACATTTCATGAACACTTTTCAAGCTACAGGTGTTACTGTTTACAAAAATCTAGAAAATGCCAAAGGATTGACTAGCTGTCCACCACATACTAGGAATACTGACTGTTGATAAAGGGAGATGTCCTATGGTTGGGCATGTCAGGGAGCATCAGACTTAACATGATACTGGAAGGATATTGTTGTATAGTCCTTTTTAAAGCATATTTAAACATTTGTATGAGAGGGGTAGAATGTAATAGGATCCAGAAAGATGCAAATCATGACCTTTGCCCTAAATTTCCAAAGGGCTGTGTAAGGTGATACAGGTCTTTCAGATCTTTATTGTGGTCAGTTAGCATTGATATGTGAAGGCAATACATCTGCTTCAGTCCCATCAAAAACTGTTTGGTATTGGCATGGTTGCTGCCTTAATCAATAACCTTTGTTTGTTTCAAAAGCAGCAAAGTAAAATCATGGTGACAGGAAAGCTTTACAAATATCAAAGTGTCTTGTTTATTTCTGTAATTTATGGAAAACTTGTCTCTGTGAGTGATACAACTGATCAGTATAATGTCACGTATATTGCTTTAACACAAGGAATCTTGTGAACCATTCTTGCATTTTCTACAGAGTCTACTGTACATTGTATTGTCGAAGGCTTTCATGGCCGGAATCATTGGGTTGTTGTAGGTTTTTTCGGGCTATATGGCCATGTTCTAGAGGTAGAAGAGAATGCCTCTAGAACATGGCCATATAGCCTGAAAAAACCTACAACAACCTACTGTACATTGCTGCTAACAGATTTGTGTAGATGTCTAGGTGGCATTCATAAGCTTTTTATTGTTGCCATTAAGCTATGAGGGACCACACAATTTAAGAAACACTGGTCTAGACCAGGGGTCCTTAAACTATGGCCCGGGGGCCAGATGCAGCACTCCAAGGTCATTTACCCGGCCCTCGCTCAGGGTCAACCTAAGTTTAAAATGACTTGAAAGCACACAACAACAACAATCCTATCTCATCAACCAAAAGTAGGCCCATAATTCCCATTGAAATACTAATAATTTTATATTTGTTGAAATTGTTCTTCATTTTAATTATTGTATTGTTTTTAAGTGTTTTTTGCACGACAAATGAGATGTGTGCTGTGTGTATAGGAATTCATTCATTTTTTTTCAAATTATGATCTGGCCCTCCAACAGTTTGGGGAACTGTGACCTGGCCCTCTGTTTAAAATGTTTGAGGACCCCTGGTCTAGACTGTTGCGCAAAGCATGTTTTAGCCAAGTCCCATGCAAAAGACACACAAACAAGAGGAAAAAAGGAACAGAAAAACTTTATTCTTATCAGCAGAGGCATAAACTTGCAATGTTGCATACAAAATCAAACAGTGCAACAAACTTACATAATCCTTGTAAGTAACACAGAATAAGGCTTCTTCATCTTCATTCAAATGAACCTTGAGTAAATAGCTATTTCACCATAGCAAAGAGCATCGCTGTTAGAACATAGCAGCATTACAGCGTATTGCTTCTCCAAACTGTATTCTAAAATCCATACAGTTATACCCCACCGGGTGTGGCCCAAACATGCTGGCTGACCTACATTATCAGCTGTACGTAATAATTAACATCATATGTTTTTTCTTTAACACACACTTGATCCTGCTACGACTTACTGTAACATAGACAACGTAAGACGGCTTGAATCTAGTTGCTTTTTAAAAAGAGAAAATCCTATTGCTTGTGGAACCTCTCATGAACTTATCGTGGAGGGGGTGTTTTTTAATACTTCCACAGCTTTACCTTGCTTAGTCTTCAGGACAGTTAAAGACAAAGTTGCTGTCCATTCTGTTCAATAACCTGATTGATTCAAAAGCACTTCAGAACAAGAGAAAGGAGAAAAGGGTTTGAGCAGACGTCTTTATATTGCCGCCTGGCCTTGGTAGAGTAACCTGGTTATCTGAACCTCAGTCAGGAAACACTGGCAAGGGCTCTTTTTATTCACTTCTCTAAGGAATGCAGCATACCTCACCCTTCAAAAGAATTTTCCAATGCACCTTCCCACTCCCAGAATCTTGAGAGTTACTAGTCTCATGTCCTGATATGCCTCTCGCAATAGCCACTACATGGTAACAATGTGTACAAAAGATGCAATTGAGTTTGAAATAAACTCTGCTTGTTTTGGACAATGCTGGAAATCTGGATTATATCTCAAGCTGCTGTGAAAGTTCCTACTCTGTCATCTCCGTTTTATTTGTATCACATGTGCAACATAAAAGAAAGAACTGGGGATCCTCCTCTTTATTTGAATGGTTCATTGTGGACTTCATTACCCAAAATAGATGTTGGGAGGTAACTTGGAAGCCCCAAACCTATTGTTGATAGTGATTCAGGTAGCATCTGAACATTCAGGTCATGTCTGAACAGGCTGTATTAACACTATGTGAATTAATATGTATAAATGGATACTTGTTTTGTATTATCCAGCTCAGTTTTCAGGTATTATTCTACACCAATGGCATATGTTTGTAGTAGATTTTCTCGAAGAGAGAACTGTAATAGCAAGTGGGAACAGAGTGTGAATAAAGGAAGAAGGATTACTGCTTCTGTTGCAAGATGGGCTGGAGAACATGAGAGGCAGAGCAGCTTCTGGCTTATTTAGCTGCCAACAACACACCACTGGGAACTAGACTGTTGCCCTATTCATTAAAAAGTAAAAAGAATTGGCAAGAAACTGTGATGGGGGCTGCTTCTTTGGAGACTTTTAAGCAGAGGCTGGATGGCCATCTGTTGGGGGTGCTTTGAATGCAATTTTCCTGCTTCTTGGCAGGGGGTTGGACTGGATGGCCCATGAGGTCTCTTCCAACACTATGATTCTATGAAACTCAGCCATGTCAATTTTGTAATCAAATATAGTGGTAATTCATCAAAGAACATAATTCTTGATGGTAACTTTGTTTCAAATGATTTTGTCATTGTGTTTAGAATTATTTGGTAAATATAAATAAAGCACAAACACATCTTTAGGCACTTTCCAGCTCTAACAGATGTTCATCACAATTATACACAATGTTGGAACTAGAGAAGCTGAATGACTTTTAAAGTTATTTCCTGTATTGCATGATGATGATGATGATGATGATGATAATAATATATAAATAAAAATTAATGTTCGTTTGTGGGATTAACATAACTCAAAAACCACTGGACAAATTGACACCAAATTTGGACACAACATACTTATCAGGCCAATAAATGAGTATCACTCATAAAAACACTGAAAACACAGCAGAAGAGACTTTAAAAAGCCAAAAAACAAAAAATACATTACAACGCAATGCCACATATATACACAAACACACATATATACACAAATACACAAACATATACACACAAAACACATATACACAGACTTGGCCACAGCAATGTGTGGCAGGGGACGGCTAGTAGTAGTAGTAGTAGTAGTAATAATAATAATAATAACAAGAAGAAGAAGATGAAGATATATTTCAGATTTCAATATTAATGTCAAAAATACGTATGATTTTACACAGGATTTGTTCTACATTAGAACAGTAAATACAAATATCACTTAAAGAAAATAAACATTAAATATTAAATAGTCAGAAAAATAAAATAAGGTGTAAATACTAAACTAAAGAAGAAGAAGAAGCTTTATTTATACCACGCCCTCTCTCTCTGAAGAGACTCAGGGCATGAGCCTTATAAAAACAAATTAATGTTGGGTGGGGAAAATCAAAGGGTACAAGAATAATGTGAATGTCCCACTACAAGTAGCTTAATCCTATGAGACAGTCCGGCTATTTAAGTTCATGTTTTCGCAGTGTAACAGCTGGTGATGGCAGCGAGCAGGAAGGTTTTAGCTCATAGAGATGAGTAATGTGATGGATAGGAGCTTTTATAGAAGTCATTAGGGTTGGGGTTTTGACGTAGGGAATGCACATTCCTTCCCAGAACATCATGTTTCGCCTAATACCTTCTTTCAAAACTCCATTCTAATGTTGGAAACGTTTTTTCTTCCATTTTTATAGTTTTGTAACTGTTATGATTTTTTGGAAAATCAGTTAAGTTTTCCTCTCCCTTTTCAAAACATGACAGACATACCTTTGCAGTGCTTTGCTATTCTGTTTCATTCTGCTAGCTTTGGTCTTTTCTCCTGTCAGTCATTCCTTCTGATAGGCATTCCCAGATAAGGATAACATTGTTTGAGGCTCCATAACTGTCATAACAAAGCAAAGTTACCCGGTTTTGCATTTATGAGATCCTGGATATTTCACATCAGTGGTCTTTTAGAATTTGAAATAGAGAAAGAAAAGTACTTACTGTGGCTGGAAAAGTATATGCTGAAGGTTTGATTAAAATGTTGGAGCAATAGAGAATAGAAATGTGAAAGCCTTGAAGAAAATGGGGAATTCTACAACACAACAATAACAAAACACCCTAAGTTTTCTTTGCCCCCACAAAGGCTTTATTTTCTTAAAAAGTTGGGGGGAAAGAATCATAAAATATTTTAATTTGGAATGGTGACTAAAATGTTCATAGGTGTACTAACCTATATTATTTCTCA